GCCGCGCGCGCGCATCGATCTGCTGGACTGGACGCAACTTTTAATGGAGAAGAAGGGACGATTTGACGCGTCGTCTCCGGCCATGCGTCGTCCATCCGTCTCGTGAGCTAGCGATCTCCTTCCTGTAGCTCTGAATATTTTTAGGGCTCCAATTATTGGCAATTTGGCATGCCGCATAAATGTTTCGTTTAACTTTGCAGCTACCCATGCGCCATGACAAGACCTTTCCTCTGGCCATACTTTTATAATAGTTATTATAAATTGTAAATAAACTATGCATACATCCATGCATTGACATGGATATATATAAACAGTTTTCGTTTCACATTTTCCATTGTTTAAGAAAAATACCGGTATCACTTACTCCTTCCATCCCATAAACAGTGTGATTCTCACTCTCTGAGTAGTCACGTATTTTTAACTTTGATCAAATATATAATATTATTATTTATAGTGTTGTATCATTGGATAAATCACCAAATAAGTTTACTGTAAACTTATTTAGAGATAGAAATGTTGCTAAAATTTTCTATAAATTTAGTAAAATTTAAGAAAGCTTCACCAGCTGGAATCTCATAGCGACGCTCTCTTTAACAGAGGGAGTACTATATTTCTTTTTAATCTGTGGATAAACTAGTACTACAAACATTTTGTTAATTTAAAATTACTTTTTTCCTCTATTTTCTGAAGAGGATAGATGTTTGACGTAGGGTTTGCAGCAACATGAAGAACACACATGGTAGACCCAAGGGACAGGAGAATCCATGACAGCAGGGAATCATATGATGCACCACACGACATGGATGGAGCAAGGCCATGAATCCAGTGAGGTGACAAGAGCACATCAAATAATGCACGTCGATCTGAAGGATTAGGACCTACAGTGTGCACTTTTCCAGTGCAAATTAGAGGCCCACAAAATAGATTGATCCATGTGTGTGGGTGAACGAATTTAATAGCGCTAGTGGGCAATATGTATAGTATATATCTCGGATAGACACATCAATATCATGAGGTCCTTCAAATTAAATGGAGAATTATTTCGCGGCTGCTCTCTTTCAATAATTTATTTTGTATAAATTGATGAAAAACTCCTAGGTTCCATATATCCTTGACCATTGTTTTATTTGTTGATGACGGTGTGTAATTTGATTTGTAGTACCTTTGAACCAGTCTAATACAGCTGACATACATGCAGATGCAGCCGAGCAAAGTACATACACAGTATATTGGTGGGTTTCAATCCGGGTTGGAAATCCTTATCAACTTAACTGCATATCACATGTGATAAATTCTGGACGCTCTTCTTTTGAATTCACCCGTGGCGAATCTTTAGTCCCGGGTGGGAGACCTTTAGTTCGGGTTGGTAACACCAACCGGGACTAAAATGTTACCCTTTAGTTTCAGTTGGTGTTACCAACCGGAATTAAAAGTTGAAGGAGCTTTAGTCCGGGTTGGTAATACCAACTGTGACTAAGATAAAAAGGTCTTTGGTGCCTGTAAAATTTAGAACCAGGACTAATGCTCACATTAGTTCCGAACCCTAATACAACCGAGACTAAAGGTGCGAACCGAAAGTCGTTTCTCTACTACGATACGTAGTAAGTCTAGGTTGGGGTGTCACTGAAAGAACTAAAAAAAATCCATTGGATTGCGACAGTGCAAAATAAGCGCATAATAATATTTTTCACTGTCTTCCGATCATGATAGCAAAGGTCCTTGATTAAGTCGTCGATTGTTCTCTTATCTTGTATTCAATTTGATGTAGCTTTGAAATTTCCGGCAAAGTATCACAGTGTATATGTTCCTTTGCCATCAGCTGCACGCGTCGATGTCAATTTGTGACACTCAAAAACATATATATATATAGTAACTATTAAACTACACCGCGGAATAGTACCCAAATTTTTACCTATAAAGAAAAGTGCTCAAACTTGATGTCTAAAATGGTTTCAAACTTTGCAAGTGATGTGTGCTAACTGCTAAGGGTCTTTCTCTAAGATGGTTTGATAAACTACACTATGTGATACTCTCCTTTCACTCACAACTACATGTGATTTTTAGACATTGATATGGTTCTAAAATGATGCTATTAAGCTGCTTTACAATATTAAATGTACTAACTAAATCTAGTAGATTTAATTCTTGTATCATGAAGGCACATTTGCCACAAATTTACTATTGAAATAAATATTCGAAAAGATATTGGCAGTCACTACTCCAGAACCTACACCGGTTTGGAATCATCTTTCATTGTTTGGCTGGTCACTCGACAGTAATACCCATATTAACAAAAATAAAGGAAGAATAAAAGTAAAAAACACCAGCAGGCTGCCGCCCGTGGCCGCGCTCCACACACTGAAGACATTGCCTGCCCCCGCACCAGGGAGGAGAGCACCGGTGAAGGAGAAAGGGATGGGGGGAGAGAGAGGAGATTCTGAGAAGGAGGGAGAGTATGAGGAGAGAGGGGAGAGAGAAGGATAAGAGAGAGGGAGAAGGTGCAGACGGATATGAAGTGGAGTTAATTATGTTGAAAAAAAAATTTAGGTTCGGGACGAGAAAATTGCAGCCGAATGGTAATACAACCCGACGGTGATACAACTGGCAATGATAATTATCTACTATTGCTAGTTGGTTTTAAAATCTACTAGTGATAGGCTTTTTTTTTCTTTTGAACCGACAGTGATACCCTATTACTGTCAGTTTTAAACTGTCCAACAGTGATGGACTGACAGAGATTATGTTTGGTCGTAGTGAATAATAATATTTTGATAACCTTTAGTATGCCTAAATAAAGCAACACATGTTCTAACGCAAGGGAGTACGATGAAGCAACATTTTTATAGATTCATTGGCCGGCCGTACTTTTGATTGTTTATTTATTTATTTGAGAAAAATGACCCATCTAAAATAAAATATAAAGATACGATTCAACTATGATTCATGAACAATGATCCATTTGACTAGCGCACACATAATACAAGTGACCTTTTCAAAAGCCATGCACATAAAACCGAAACAACCATCCTTTTAGAAAACGAGAAATTGAGGAAGATGACAGCATCTTCACACATGGGACTTGGCATGTAGTACTCCTTGCTCCAATCTGGGAGCCAAATGTTAATCTCTTTTGTTTGACTAATGATAGCTCAACAACCGCATTGAAGCTAGCGAACATGAATAAGTAGTAGACCCTGAGCTCTTATGAAATTGACATGAAGAGATTGGTTAAACAAACATAGGACGTACCAATAACATCAATGCGATATGATAACCGGCCGTATTAATCAATTCCACTAATTCGTGGTAATCATTACTGAAATGATCACTTTGATGAATAATTTTGCGGTAGGGGTCCGTGGGGGCTTACAAGATCATTTAAGTGACGTCGATGAGTACATAGTTGTGTGCCACTATGATGGGAATATGCCTTGGTTTTGATACTACTACGAGAAGAAGAACTTAGTTGATACCATTTTGTGCAGACAAAAAAAAAAAAAAGATCATGTATTGTGTGCGTTTTGGCACCCTCCTATTATTTACCTACATGAATTTAGTTGGTTATTTACCATTTATTATGTAGAAAAATTATCTAAACTTGAATAATAATTCATAAATACTACGTATACCTCCGTTCTATTTTATAAGGTGTACATTCATGTCGAGATTCAAACTTTAAATTCTTTGATCAATAATTTGGTTGAAATTTTAACTATTATAATCCAAACTTGATATGGTTAGATTTATAAGCAATTGTAGTATCAATAATCATGAGTTTATAATCATAAATAGCATAATATAAAGTAAATGAATGATCAAAATATAATTTAGGAGACCGTGTCATTCCAAATTATATCTTGTAAAATAGAACTGGGGAGTAATATGTTTCAGTCAGCTGATTACGAGATAAAACAAAAAAGTGTTAACCCTCCATGTTTGGAGTTCAAGTTCTTTGCTAACCTCTTTTGTATGTTTAAACATAGAACAAAAGCAATGCTCACAAACACACACGTATCCGTATGGCTACGCACGTACACCATAGCCCTATGAGTACCTCCAACAGCTTGAGGTCCCAGATCTTGAGATTGATAAAGTCAGCGTAGACGATTCGTCGACGACATGCACATCGGCTATCGTTGAAAGAACAACATGGTCAGTTCCCAGAGTAAATCTAGGAAATATGAGCACCCGTGCTAAGTATAAAACTAGAACCCGAGTGAACATATTTCATAAAAAAATAACTTGACCTAGTAGAAAGTGAAATCTTTCCTATGATTTGAGGTCAATTCCTAGGTTCAAGGGACATAATTTGTCGGATGGGTTCAAATATAAGTGGCAAAGCTAATTGTCTAATTAATTTCTAAGAGGAGGCAAATGTAATGCTGTTTTTCACTCCAATTTCGTGTGCTGGTCGATTTTTTATTCTATCTAAACAAATTGCTCTTTTATTAACTTGGTAAATCAACGTATGAAAATAACATAGGTTTTGTGACACATGGTCATATTATTAGTTTTATTAGAAAAATATTTTCACAACATATAATTTTGCCGACCCTTCCAAATGTCAGCAAAGCTTTTGCCGACCCTTCCCCAAAAAAACAACATATGATTTTACTATTTTATATGGTACATTTAATTAAAAAATCGCAAGCCACAGAAATATCAACTAGTCTTTTTTTTAGAAACAGCAATATCAACTAGTCGAGTGTTGTTGCATCGGAGCCAGGCCTGGAGCTTAACATTTTTTAATCAGGCCGTTGCTCCTAACGATAGACCCAAAGGCCCAAAGCCCACTGAAGCCCAGTTGTGTGATGGGGGCGAAGCCACTATCTTAAATAAAAAAAAAAGCCACTGTCACTCCCGCCGCGCTCGCTGCTCGATTACTAATTAAAGCCGCGCGCACGAGCAAGCGGATCAGAGCATGCCACGATCTGGCGGCAGCACAGAGGAAGGCGTCGCATCACGCGCACAGCCGCCGCCGGGGACCAGCTACCAGGACGATGGCACGCGCGCGCCATGCCATCGTGTTGCGGGACATGCAGCGGCGGCGGTGGCGGCGGCGGCAGCAGCTCGGGTCGGCTGGCGGCCGGGACCAGCAGCAGCCGGTGCAGCACCGCAATCGGCGCGCTCCTGCCGCCGCTGGGCGCGCGCGGCGGCGGGTGGCGTGCCCGGCTCCGTCTCCGGCGGTTCATCGTGTCCCCCTACGACCCGCGGTACCTGGCGTGGGAGAACTCGCTGGTGGCGCTGGTGGCGTACTGCTCGTGGGTGGCGCCCTTCGAGTTCGGGTTCGTCCCGGACCCCCGAGGCGCGCTGCCATCGCCGACAACGCCGTGAACGCGGCGTTCGCCGTGGATATCGCGCTCACCTTCTTCGTGGCGTACGCGGACGGCCGGACGTACCTGCTCCAGGACGACCCCCGGCGGATCGCGTGGCGGTACGCCCGGACCTGGCTCGCCCTCGACGTCGCCTCCACCGTGCCCATCGAGGTGTACCGCCGGATCCTGCCGCGCCAGGCCAGGGACTACAACTTCTTCGGCATTCTCCGGCTCTGGCGCCTCCACCGCGTCGGCACGCACGCACGCTGCTTTAATTTCTCGATGGATTGTTCGATGCTTTTTCTTGAACTGATCAACAATGGCGTTGCTTTGCTTGGTTCGTTCGTTGATCTCTATCTAGACTTGAGGTACTACTGCTGCAGTACCTCAAGGAGAAGAGAGACAGCTGCGCGATCGCCGGCGTCGCGGAGGAGATCAAGTACATGCTAGCTCGGGGCCAGCTCGAGCTCCCCGTCACGCTCTGCCTCGCCGCGTCCAAAGGCGACGACTTCCTGATGCATCAGCTGCTCAAGCGCGGTGTTGACCCCAATGAGTCTGATAACTATTGGCATACGGCACTGGTAAATTCTCCATCTTACCTTCGCAAAAAAAAAAAAAAATCTCCATCTTACGATTCAAGACTGTACTCTATTCTACCGTCGCCATAAAAAAGATTGTTTTTTTATGTCTATACTGCCTAAATTTCAAATTTCCAATGCTCGCACTGCTCGTGATCTTACAGCACATATCAGCTTCCAGCGGACATTAGCAGTGCGTCAAGCTTCTGTTAGAGCATGGAGCTGATCCTAATGCCACAGGTATCATGTTCATGTACTACCATTAAGATCATCACTATTACATGTACAGATTGGGGTCACCAATGCAACCAAACCCTGTGATCGATCGTAATGTCCAGATGCGCAAGGAAGAGTGCCCCTGTGGGAGGCCCTGTCCAGGAGGCACCGCGCGGTGGCGTGGCTGCTGGTGGACGCCGGCGCGGACCTGGCCGCGGGCGACGCGGCGCTGTACGCGCGCACGGCCGTGGAGGCGGACGACGTCGCGCTGCTGGAGGACGTGGCGCGCCACGGCGGGGACGTGACGGTGGCGTGCTGGGACGACGGCGTCACCGCGCTCCACCGCGCGGTGCTCCAGGGGAACGTCGGGATGGTCAGGGTCCTGCTGGAGCACGGCGCCGACGCCGACAGGGAGGACGGCGGCGGCCGGACCCCGAGGGCCATGGCGGACCCGCTCGGCCACCGCGACATGCAGCAGCTGTTCGGGTCGTCGTCGTCGCACCGGGAAGGAGCGGTGGAGAGCCCGAAGCGGCAGCAACGGCAGGGTTCGGGAACGGACCATGGAAGCAGGCTCGCGGTCGCGGCTCATCAGCCGGCGGTCACGAGGTTCAAGAGCGCGCCCGCGCCGAGGGTCCCCGTCCCGCAGCACGACAGCGCTGGCTCGTCGCCGTCGTCGTCGTCCAATCACAGCACTCCCCGCCGGATGGTCAGCTTCCGGAACTCCCTATTCGGCGTCCTGTCCTCGTCACACGTGAACCGGCACGACGGAGGCGGCGGCGGCGCGCCTAGCCGCCACGAGAGGCACACGCACAGCAGCAGGTCGCGTGTCAGGATGACCATCTCCTGCCACGAGCAGGGCGTCAGCGCGAGGAAGCTGGTGTTCATGCCTGACACCATGGTGCAGCTCGTGGAGCTCGCCGGGAGCCAGGTCGGGTTCGCTCCGACGAGGGTGGTGACCATGGACGGTGCCCAGGTTGACGACGCCAGGCTCGTCAGGGACGGCGACCACCTCCTCCTCGTCACTCATCAGTGGGTGCCTGACATGCATACGAATCAGTAACAGTAGATGAGACATACTAGCGCAGCCAATGATCGTTGCACGTGTTGGACGTCGTGGCTGGCTATTGGGAGGCTGATGAGTACCTTCGCTGTTTCACTTTATTGCCAACCAAGAACTTATTCATTAAGCTGAAGACTTGTATATATGTCAAGTTGAGACACGCATAGGTTCAGACTCAACCGGCCATGCTAGGACATAAGTGGTGCAATGCTATTAAGGTTTACAACTCTAACCTAAATGAGTGATGATGAACCAATGAATTTACAACTCTAAACTGAGTGAGTGGTGACGACCCAATGGACAGAAGAAGAGTGATGCCACACGGGTAGTTAGAGGGTGAGGCCAGACAAAACTTTAATTAAATGCAAATTAATGCAACACGTAATCTTAGGGCATCAATTAAACATGAAATGCTAAAAGCATGAAAAAAAATCTAATACTGGAATTGAAAAATATAAAACATAGACTTAAAACTCATTTAAAATAGTGCATGAAAGGTTACTAAGGAAATTGCACTTAAAGAAAAGAAAATTCTTAATATTAAATATTCCCAAAACATACATAGGCTTAACTTAAAGATCAGTAATGAAAAGCATACTTAAAAATGAAGTGGGAATATCATTATGAGAGCATCAAACTTATTTTATAAACTTAAATCAATAACTAAGTTGCTGAGAAAGAACTTAAAAAGAACATAAATGAATGGTCTTAACAACTCATGCTTAAGTTCTCAGGAAAAGTATTCCACGCAATACTTAAAATACCCATAAACTCATTAAAAATGTTAAACTTATTAGTAGCGAGGAATAAACATCATTATTGGGAGAAAAATAAACTTAATGGTGTAGGCCTGAGCTCATGACTATAGTTAAATCGACGTAGAAAAGATAAAACAAAACTTGCTCAATCCGGCCTGTACATTGAATTAGCCTAGCTAACGGCCACTATCACGTGGTTTAGCTGACACGCACGCATCATCACTATGGCCAATTTAACGGCCCGGCCCAGCTCCACACAGAGGACTGACGCGGGGTTGTATTAGTTAACGCAAATACATAAATCCGCAAACGTACGGATACTGATATAGCTTTTACCCAGAGTATTTCTAGGTATCGATTTTTACGGAAAACGAGAAATGAACTGGAAAAGATCAAGGTCGTCTAAGGAAGAAGTGTTTTTATGGGAAGAGATGGGTATTCTAAGGTTTTCCCAAGATAACTAGATAACTAAGGTTCAAACTTAATTACTAAACTCACATACTTTAGATCAATAGTACCTTTTCGATCCTCGAAAAGACTGAGAAGGAGTGATCGGGGTCAGGCTGCCAAAAAACTCTACAAAAACACCAATCCGAACATGGTGGATTACAAAGGTCTGGTCAGAGCTGTCACCTCTAGGGCAACCACAACTATTCGTGGGATTGGACACAAACTCAGGTAAAAACTAGCTTAGACACCATGTCTATGCTAACGATTACTACTCTAGCCCGTATTCTTAGATTAGAGGACTCGGTCCAGCGGAGTTCCCGTAAGTAAGCAAAGCAAAAACTAAACTTAGTTAAGTAGTATGCTTGAAAATACCAAAAGAAAACTTGGATTTTACTCAAGTCGAGTCGGCTCCGTAGAGGTACAAAGTTGAGGAGGACACGACAAACCCTGCTCCTCCTTCGCTCTATTCCTCTTCTCTCTTCCTCTTTTTTCTCTATTACAACTAGGTGTGAAGCACCTAGAGGGACACTACTACAAAATGTGTGAAGATGAAGCTCAAGGTAGGTGTATGTTGTAGATGGGGTGCTCCTCTATTTATACAAGGAGCAAGGGCGGTGCTATGGCTATTCCTAGCGCGAAGTCCCTATCTTCACCTCCTCTGCATGCTCCCATGCCACCGCCTATCGAAGGGGTGGCCGAGAGGCGCCGGTGGGGGGTCAGGTGACCCTAGGGGTTAGCCGCCCCCTGACCAAGCCCCCTCGCCACCGCCTTAGCGTGGTGGGCTGTGGGCTGGACATGGTTCGCTCCTCGGTGGGTTTTTCGTCCGAATGAGTTGAGTTGATGGGCATCTTTATTGTTCCTTTGCGCAAATCAGTGTCGGAAAGCGCCTTTCGGTGAAATTTTTCATGCATTTGTGTTTATATCCTGCAAAACAAATGAGAGCACCAAAACTCGTGGAACTTGTTAGATAAAATAATATTTTGTTATGATGTAGCCTGAAATGTTGTCATTTTAATGCACTTTGGTGGGCAAAATATTTGAGTTAAGGACCGCCAACAAGCTTCCTCACATTTAGATCTTTGCTCGTCCCATACAAAGGTTTGGATAAAGTAAGCATAAACATGGCAGTTCAAGATATGAGATTAGCATAACAATTATTCTAAAAAATATACCTCGTACTTGTGGGATATGTGGAGTGTCTATCATATCTCCTTAATCGGTTGAGAAATGAAACGGCTTTGAAACAAAGTCATCTCATCCCATTTTCATATCTTAGTCACTTGGAGTTTTTGTAACCTTTTGAAATAAAAGATAGTTCACATGTACTCCTTGAATGGTACTCTCAAATCGTTAACGGTGTTTGGTTTCTCACCAAGGCATATCATAGCAATGCCTTTTTTTCTTTCTACTTCTAAAAAGTTTATATGGAGCTTTGGTAGAAAAAAGTATGAAGGCATACTTGTATTGTGTATTTTGCTAAGTCAAACAATGGATCCATGGAGAAAAATATCATACAATCAAATCAAGATATGCATGTGTGTGGTACATTTGATGGATATATGGTGGCTAACCTAATTCTACTATGCTCTTTAAAACATATCTCTCTCTTTAGTTGGAAAATTTTTGTGAGAACATGGGCTACCATTATTCTCATATATCATTTCTTTCTTCTTCTCTCTTCTTCTTTTTCTTTCTTTTTCTACTTTCTCTTTTTTTATGATAGCCTCATGCCTCTTTTTACAACCTAACTCTTGAGAGAGAAATCAACAAGGATTTAGAGCATTTATTTTGATGAAACCTAACAAACATATTTTTTTTCACTCCTAGTGTAGGAGTAGACCATTTTTGGATGGATCTAGGTGAGAGGCATGTTTTTGCGCCTACTCCCAGTGTAGGAGCAGTGCATATATTTGGTGGCATGTACGTGATCTTGATTTTGAAAACATGATAACTTTCTCAACACAGGTCAACAAAGTTTGACAAAGCTCAACACAAAAGCAAGTAGCATATGTAGAAGGTTTTCATCAAGATATTTGGACTTGGTAGGAATTTTCTTACCATTGAGGAGTACGTGTGAAACTATGGATTTTGACATTTTATCAAAAAGAAAATTCTTCAAGCACTTTGAATAGAAAAGGTTGGATTTCCATGTCAATGCCATATCTCACTTCACAACAACTTAGTCAATATGTTTTTTTCCTATATGATATTTTTCCCACAAGTACTAAGTACATGTAAGGAATAAAGATTATGCAGTCCAATCTCAAAAAGCTATATTCATGTTCACTTTCAAAATTTTAATTCTAAGGGTGCAATTTGTTTTTTTAATTTTCGTGTTTAAATGAGTGTAGAACCGGGAGTAAGCATATGAACAGGTGGGAAGGAATCAAACCAAGTTGTGTGCAGGCTCCTCCACCAGTCCATGATGTGGTTCGGTGCTTTTCTTTTTTTCCATGGGGGTGTTGCACACCCCCACACCTCTTTGGAGCTATATCTGACTTTTTATTCGAAGACAAAAAGTGGTAAAAATAAAGGGAACTCTTCTAGTGAGGAACACCAGACAGTCAAAATTTTATTAACCTAAATTCTAAAAGGTACAAGATTGAATTTTCTTAGATTGGATCTTTAAATTGCAGAAATTCAAACACGTCAATTTCTTCGAAGTTTTGTGGTTCAAGGAAAACTTTCAAATGTTGGCCATTTACTTTAAATACGTTACCTTCATCATCTTGGAGCGTGATGGCACCGTGTGATGAGGTCTCGATTACCTTGAATAGCCCTTCCCATTTACTCTGAAGTTTTCCATGACCAAAGAGTTTTACCCTTGAATTGAACATCATAACTTTATCTCCAGGTGTGAACTCTTTGTGTTTGATTCTCTTGTCATGCCATCTTTTTGTTCTTTCTTTGTAAATCTTGGAGTTACGGTAAGCTTTTTCTCTCCATTCCTCTAGCTCAGATAGTTGCATTTGTCTATTCTTGTCGGCTAGGTGGAGATCCATATTCCATTTCTTAATTACTCAATGGGCCCTAAACTCCAACTCCATAGGCAGATGACATGTTTTTCCATATACAAGCTGATACGGTGACATGCCTATGGGTGTCTTGTATGCTGTTCGGTATGCCCATAGTGCATCTTGCAGCTTGTACTTCCATTTCTTCCCCATCTCATCCAGTCTTTTGCAGAATGTTCTTGATCTGCTTATTTGATGTTTCAGCTGACCGCTTGTTTGGGGATGGTATGGAGTTGCAACATTGTGCTTGACTCCATATTCTGCCAGGAACTGCCGAAAGGTCTTCTCGATGAAGTGTGACCCTCCATCACTTATGACTATTCAAGGTGTTCCAAACCGTGGGAATATCACTTCATGGAACATTTTTTTTGGAGTGCTTGGAGTCGGCGGTCCGACATGGCAGTGCTTCTACCCACTTGGACACGTAGTCCACCACCACCAAGATGTATTCTGCATATCCAGACTTTGGGAATGGTCCCATGAAGTCAATCCCCCAGACGTCAAACAACTCCACTGGAGGTTGTTCATGAGTGGCATTGCATCCCGAGTGTTGATGTTTCCATGCTTCTGGCATCTGACACATCTTCTGACAAACTCATTTGTATCTTGATACATCATTGGCCAGAAGAATCCGCTTTGCTAGATCTTGGTGTGTGTTCGGAATGCTCCATAGTGTCCTCCATAGGGTGATGCATAACATCTCTCTATGATCTTTGTGGCTTCAACCATTGGGACACATCTCTGTAGCAATCCATCGGCGCAGACTCGGTAGAGATAC